AGTGCCGTTCTGGTTGTCAAATAAGAGCCTTCATTATTATTATTATTATATAGTCAACATTAAAAAGGATGTCTGTGGCCTTCTAGTTTAGACTAGATAAATATGTTCACAATAAAAAATTTGTTCATGTTCTCTTTCATGATCACTCAGGGCTGTGATTGAGTAAGAACTTTTTTCTATAACTATTGAAAAAAAAGCAATTATATGACCGTTTCTTTCGCAAAGTAAACTTCGAGAATTTACCTACTTGAAAATTGTTCTTAAACGTCAAACTTTTTTTTATGGATTCGCAAAGTGAAAATGAGTGTACTCCTCCTGAGTTTCATCTAAAATTATAGACGCATCACAAAAGAAACTAATGATTCAGTAGTTTATCCTGATATGCTTGGACTTGATATGTTAGTTGTTCCTTATATTACTGAAAATATTTTGAATAATACTAATAGCATGTTTCTGACTCCGGTAACGGAAAATGAAATAATGAAATATATCTCTTTAAAAAATAGTAATTCACCAGACATTGATAGAATCAAAACTAAAAAACTCATCCACATATTCTCACACCTCTAGTACATATATTCAATTTCATATTCCAAACGAACATTGTGCCATTGCAATTTAAATCATCTGTTGTATCGGCCATACACAAATCTGGGGATAAAACTAATGTATGTAATTACAGACCCATTAGTGTTATCAATATTTTGGAAAATATTTGAGAAATATTTGAAAGATCGGTTAATACACTTTCTAGACTCAAACAATATCATCCACCAACAACAGTTTTTGATTTAGAAATGGTTAATGTACTTCTGATGCAATGTGCTCGGTCCTAACAGAAGTAACTGAAAAATTATAAGCTAATAAGAAATATATCGTATTGTTTCTTGATGTGGCAAAAGCATTTAATAGTGTGAATCACAAAAATCTCCATATACTGGAATGTTATGGAGTACAAGGAACAGTATTAAATGTCTTTCTCAGTTATCTCTCAGATAGAACACTAATAGTTAAACTGAATAACACCATGAGTGATCCAAGAACAATGAAAATAGGAGTATCTCGTGACACCATACTTGGACTTATTCTCTTTTTAACATACATTAACGCATTCTTATCCTCATCAACAAATGCAAAAGTAATATTATATGCGGATGATACCGTCATGCTGTTTAATGGCAATACTTGAACTGAAACAAAAGATCTTCTACAAAGAGATATGGAAATTACCAAAAGCTGGTTGGATAAGTACCAATTAACCCTGAATGTCAAGAAACCACACTACATTGCATTCTCTACAACAGAAGCTAATAGACCAACCTTCAGTTGTATAAACATTAATAACATCAACGAGGAAATTACAGATGTGAAAGAAATCAAGTGTTATGTTTTTCCTGTAATATCTAGGTTTAATCCGGTCTCGAAGAACGAAATATTGAAATTCAATGTCAGTCAAATAGGTTTTTTTTTTATTCTCTTACGTTTAGTTACAACAACTGAACATCAAATTGAATATTACTATATATAGGGTAAAACACAGGGTAAACAAATAATATTGAATATAAATACTGAACATCTTCATAATGAAGATCTAGGTGACATAAGATCTCTACATTTTCATAGCCTATGTATACATGCTTACAAATACAAGCAACATCAAGCCATCCTTCATATGACTATAGAACTAGAAGTCCTACAAATCATCACTTAAGAATTCCCAACTGCAACAAAAATATACTTCACAGATTTTTAATATATACTTCAACTAAAGCATCTACCTTCTTCCTTCCAGTTTGAACAAGATAATAACATTAAAAAAACTGGGTGTTCCTTCAAAAAAATATGTTCTCCATAATTATCACACTTTAAAAAAATACTGAATAAAATGCATCGAATAACAGATATTTGACTCTGTACTGATACATATCTAAAATTCTTAATTTTAGAAATTGTTTTTCATTATATCAATTGTTTCATATGGTGTTGTTAGAGTTTACTTCAATTTTAAAAAGTTCTATGAAATGATTGTTTTTGTTGCTATTGTCAGTTGCTTTAGTTGTTAGCTGATCATTTTCATTGAGCGAATCCACGTGAAAATGTTTATTACTATCACATTCCCCTTCGTTTATAACTTTCCAGCTCTCTTTTATCAATTTAATATTCTCCGATATATTTTTTTGTTTCTTGAGTAATTTTATTTTACCAAGATATATTTTTCAGAATTCTCTATAATGCCCTGTATATTTTGTATCGTTAATTTTCTTGTCAACTGTCCATTTCTTTTCATTAATATTATTCCCAACCTTAATTATTGGAAAAGCAATATTATATGATATGGGAACGTATTATAAAATTGTTCAAATTTCTATTCAAAAGTTGTAGGTCTAAAAAAAAACAACTTTCGCGAGATATTAACGTCAGAAACGTTTGCATAATCATTATGCCATGAAAATAATCTTTTTTTTTGTCTAAAAAGCACAACTGATAAGTATGATCAGGTATAAACCAACTTGAACGTCTATTTCAGCGGCTGTGAGATTTGAAAATATATTATCAATAAGAACCACTTGTTATTCTGGAGGGCTTAGTAATTTGATGGTTTATGATATATTCTTTCAATAAATCAGGCAAAAGTGTTTTATTTGTTACTTTTTCCAAAAAATCAATATTCACGTCACCACATAATACATAGAAGTTTTCACATTTATAAATTCCATGCATCAATACCTCCAAATTATGTAAATAAGTATTGAAATTACTATGTGGTGTTATATATACTGATAAAATATAAATAAACTTTTTAATTTTGGAAATATCAATTTTAGTTAAGCAAGCTTCAAATGTTTGCTCAGTGCATTTATTTATTGAATCAAGTTCAATATTGGTGAAATTGATGGACACGTCTGATGGTGTCTTATTTTCAATAATACCTTGAATATTAATGTTAATTTCAAATAATCGAATTTTTAAATATTCATCTTTTTTAACGTTTCCTGGTGTGAGTTCTCATTAGAAGTTCTTATAAAAAAAGTTGCTGGTTGATTTTCAGATAGTTGAATCTTCTATCAAACATAATTTCAACCAATTGATGAAAGAAGATTGAATTAAAGTTTAATCTTCGTCTCAAAGATGATCCCTTGATGATCGAAATAAGTGTACAGTAATATTCAAATTTCTCTAAATAAATATCTCTGAAATCTATAGGAAATGATTTACAAAATGTCCTTAGAATAAGTTTTCAAATAATTATAACAAATAGCTGTTACTGAACACCTTGTATGAAAATTCCAAGATCTTGCTTTGGAATCGCATCACTGCACATCAGATCTACCAATATATTGAAAATATTCAACTCATCCAAATTGTAACAAATATTAATAACCCAAAAACAGTACGTAGCAGACAGAACATCCAGGATGAAGTTGAAACAGAATTGAAACAGAAATCTTGAAAAATTCCCAAATATACAGGGTGTTCTATTTGAAATAAAAACGTTGTTGCCAACTTTGGGTTTACCCAAAAGTGAAATTGTGTTGAAAATATTTTAATGAATAAATGAATATCAAATACCTCTTGTCAAACATTTTCAGATTGAAAATATATTTGAAATATATTCAACTAACCTTCGTCAAGAATCATCCTATATATTCTAGGTACTATATACAATAGCTTCACTTTATTGGATTGCAGAAAAATGAATATGCACTATTCCGCTTACTAGAGTGTTTGATCACAACGACTTTCGTAGTAAATCTATCCATTAATCTGTCATTATAGTTTTTATTAAAAATGGCAATCTCAGTCTCAACAACTCAACAATAACTGAAAGTTGATAGATTTCTTTCAGGGTGTACTGTGATGACAATAATCATCCTGGATTATCAGAAACATATTGAATGAAAACGAAACTTACCGCTCTGTTGTGGGTTCAGCACAATTTAAGGGGTACTTCAGTTCAATTATTTCCCCATTCTTCTCTTTCAACTGTCCTGGATTTTCCATGTAATACTGTACCAACTCTGACAGTGTGGCAAATTTTTCACCTCCGTATAAATCATAGAAATCTCCAGAATTTTGAATTTTGATGTGTGTAACTTCTCCATTTCGTCTAAAAATATGAATTTTTTATTATTTTGACAATCTTCCACACTTAGAACCACCCCCCATTTTTATCAATAGCAGATGGTATAAGGATACAACTGTAACAGAAGGAAAAATAGCAATTGTCACTACGGATATAAGCTATAAGTTAACAGTATACTCCTAATTTCAGCAAACACAAATACAAGCCTTACTGTTGTTGGAGAGTTTTCAAAGAGTGAGAAATCTTATTAAACAAAAGCTACAGTCTTGTGGTTAGAAAAATGAACATAATAAAAAAATTGAACTGTTTAGATATACAAAATAATAATTGGTACGCTTTTCAAAATGATACTTTGAAAAAACAAGAATTGAAATGACTCGAGATATAAAAATTAACATGTCAAACCCACTTCAGTTAAAAACTTCAATAAAATGTGTAGAACAATCACAAATTTTTCATTTACATACATTCATCAGTTAAGTGTTCTATACCGCCATTATGTAGCAGTAGTACTCTAGGAATAACAAGTACTATATATTTTAGTATTGAGCTACCAAAAACAAAAGTTACCTTCTGAAAATGTGATTGTAAATTACAAGGCACAAAAAATCTAGGATCGAAGTGAAAAACAAATGGGTTTTAAACTGAATACTTAAAAATAACTTTAATCAGAAATCTAAACACTGCAAAAAACAAAATCAGATAGATCTCTTGAAATTCTTTCAGAGTGTTTACAGTTTGCTTGTAATACCAATGCATATAATACAAATGCAAGACAGTTGGTACAGTGCAACTCACAAGTACATATTCAAAAACTCTAATTTCACTTGAATATTTACAAACTAAATAAATATTTGATCATTACTTTTATTTTATATTGAAATTTTCAATAACCAATAGTATATGGGAGAATAAATTAACATTAAGATATATAAAAAATATTTAGGCCCATTATCCTTTTAGTTTTTTTGTTTGTTTTTACTTCTCCCTTAATATAATTTAGGCAAATATGTTAATCACCTACAGTTATATCTTTTGAATGAAAACTGAAGAGTCCATCTGAAGTAACTACTTCTCTATGGACTTTAATGTATTTTCTTCTCCAACTTATACAAGTATTACAGATATTAAAAAAGTCGTTAGTCTTGCAAAAACTATACCAGAAGTAAGTAAAAATAACTTTTGTGTAGTTCGATGGCTGAAGAACAGTTCTTTCTTTCCGCTCGTACCTGAAAAAATCTCCACATATAGGTATCATAGCTGGTTTTATTGATATTTGTTATTTTTTTTCTTTCTCTCTTAGAAAGTTTCTCAAATATAAAATCATCATCCAGAGCTCCAAGACATTTTATTTAGTTTTAGGTACTAAAAAATGTTTTTGGAATAAACTTGCAAACAATAAAAAAACCACCATTGGGTGATATACAAACTAGTACAACAATCAAGTTTGAATTTAGTGATGTTTTGTTCACTTTTCTTGAGGTCTTTTTCAACTTACCGGACAGACAAGGTAAAATTGCTAGGATTTGCTGTACTGGGTCGAGCCAAGAAACTGCAATCCACCCCTCTTTCCATTAATAACTTTTCTGCCTCAATCCCATCTATTGTGGGCCAAAACCACCTTAAAACAGGAACACCTTGCTGAGTGTGAACTATAGGACTTACTCATTTCATAAATACAAAACAAAAATGAACAATATCTAATTCTGAAGGGTTGATTGACACATTTGGTTTGTCAATAATGAAAGAAACAACAGTGATAATTGATAAAAAACCAAATTACCTTCTGATACTCATTATTCAACATATAAATGAAAAAAAAATGAAGGAAATTGAAAATAAATTATTGTAAAGAGTGTACTTTCTTACTGAGCGCCATCTTGAATGTACCAGGAGCACGCAATTATTAACAGTTCATGTTAGTTGTAGTAGTGCTTTAATACTGTGCCCCAATGAAAAATTCTTTCCGCATAATACATTATAAATTAATGTATTTCCTTTATTGATATCATATTGATTATTATCAACGTTACGCTAGTTTCGCAAAACATTATTGACTTAACCTTATACATCAATTATCCCATCAAAACCCGGCCTGGTTTAAAAAAATTAAGAAACAGAAGAATTATAACAATTGTAGCACCATTGTATAGTTGTTTTGAAAATTATAAGTATCAATAATACTCCATGTATAAAATTTGAAAAATATAATAACTCATCTACATTACACTAACATAAAAATTACAGTTTTAATATCGGAGCTTTATCTTCTGAAGACCCTTCTGCTAGTAATTCTTCTTTTTCCATGAGTTGCTGCTTTGCCAATTGTGGTTTAACTACCGTATAATAATGATAAAATCTGGATACAATTTGTGAAAATGCATAAATAGAAGCTCCGATGCAAGTGTATACGAATCCTCTATGGAATTTATCAATTATGGCATTCCTTACTGGGTGCTTCTTCATGTTTTCTGAGAAGTTGTTGTTTTACCTTTGTAAAACTTAAAAAAAGTTCCTTCCTATTCGGATTTCAAATATTCCTCTCCTTATTCTTTAATCTATAAGCCATAACCTAAAAATTCGGAGTGTCAAATTGTCAACTATAAATAACACAACTCCTACATTGACATTATTGACATATTGACATTTGACAACATCCTGAAATACATCATAAAACATGATCTTTTGTGTCCCACCACAGAAATATTTCTATGTGTCCAACCACAAAAAAATACTAACTACTCTTGCACTTGAACGTAAAAGCGCATACTTATATTGAGATTTTGTTGCAAGTGCAACTAAATTTTTACTGTTCATGAAAAAGACGAAATGCAGTAATTTTCAACTTTCAACAGCGAAATGTGGCATTTGTTATTTATTGTTATTGTATGATTTACCAAATGTTCGCTAGCAACTTAAATGAAGTGTCAGAGACATTAAAATTTTTTGAAATGATTTGTTCTGCAATTTCAATGAATCATCAAATGGAAAGGAGGAAGTTATTTCCTACTAGAAATACTGGGAATATTTAGCAGATTAGGCATTTTTTTATATCAATTCGAACCATATTATTTGGCTGACAGAATGATTTTTAATCATTATTTGTCATCCTAGATTTTTGACTCATGCCCACAAGAGAAATTCAATAAAATTCTTCTCTTCTGGCTCGTTATAATTATTATTAGTTAACGACTTGGCGTTGGATAATGAATAGAATGAGAGTTGCAGAACTGCAACTAAACATATTATGTAAAAATGATTGTAACTGTTTCACCCAGGTTTTAGGCGTTTCATGATTGGTGACACTGATATTTGACATATAATAATAAAGATATATTTGAAAAATAACCGCTAACATCCAGAATAGTTGACAGCGGATACCGGAATGATATATTATCGTTTATTACTTTTGAAACATGTTGTTTGTGTCAATTATATCATTGATAAGACGATTGTTAAATTATTTTCGATGTGAAAACTGGAAACATACACTGCGACCATACATTGATCTTATATATAGTATACAAAGTGAATATTGAAGTGGGCAGTTTCTTTTCAACAGTTACCCTTAAGTTCTCATAAATCGTTGGATGAATCGTTGAGGTCCCACATACGGCTCTCAACAATGAAGAATTTCATGAACTGATAATCAATAAAACAAATGAATAGTTAATTGAAAAAGAGAACGATGATCCGAGACCTTTTTTTAGATTTTGAGTTGAGTTCAGTTTTGTGTTCTCTTAGGATAGAAGCACATTTTGTTGTAATAAGGGACCTAAATTCATCATTAAAATTCTGTGTTTTTCATCTATTGGGTATATTTTTTTAATGAAATGAAAAATATACCTATTTCAACCTATTTAGTTCACTGTTTTTATTATCCCAAGGAGGCACTGGTTGATAACCGAAACTGTTCATCAATGTGAAACAGTACCTATGTCATTTTTCCATATTTTTTCAAAGAATGGTAATAATGCGAAAAGCTAACAAAATCATAAAATTTCACTCATCTATGTATATTGAACATTACTTAATTTTTTTATTCTTCTATCACAAAAACTCTTATGTTCAAAAAGTTTTTAGGGTTTTTTTAAAATCAACATTAAAGTGACTGAGGTACCTTTTGACAGTCACTCGTTCAATTACACCAAACTTCTCTGTCAATCAGTATATATATCATGAAATAGAGATTAAATATTAATGAGATGTAGAGCTACAAAAACATATGACATTAAAACAGACAAAACTTTTAAAACAACCAAAGTTTGGTTCACCAGTTTTCAGGAAGCCGTGTTCCATATCTAATTGGTTTTACAGTAGAACCACAATAGCAGTGATTTTAATTATTTTTGGAGAATATCTTGAGAAAAAGACATCTGTACTAAGCTCTCTTCTTTTGTCTAAGGTACTATGTTTTAAAAATATATAACCACCTTCTAGTAATAACTAGAATTTTCTACAGCGTTAAACTGAAAATTAAAATAATATTGTTGATTAAGTCTGAAACAACAAGGTTGTGTCAATTGTCAAGTGTATCACTGAAGAGTCAATGGTTAAACAATTCCTAAGTAGAAACTAATAATTTTCCAATTGATCAATCCACAGTAATTAAAATGGATATTGAAGTTGGCCACTTCTTCTCAAGCATTATTTTCAAACTCTGATGATTCGGAGTAAAACAAAAATTACAATTGGCCCCTACCTAAAATTGGAGAATTCCACAAATCAATGATGAATATCTTTACTTTTCTTTTCTGTTATTATCTACATCTATTCGATAAAACAAGGAATGGGTGATTGTAAAAAGGAACTTCAGTCTTTTTCTTTGAGATTCTGAGTTGAGCTCATTTTTATGTTCTGTACGGGCAAATTATGAGTGGAAAAAAGAATCCAGATTCCATTGGCCTACGAGAAATGAATTTGATGAACAGAAACAAATAATTTTCTTATATTGTTAGTTTCATTTGCTTTGCGATAGATTTACTAGGTTTTTCATATGATTTTTTGATATTTGCTAAAATAAATCTGTTTTGACTTATGGAGTTAATTGTTTTCATTACTAGATTTTTCATAATTTTTCGGAAAATGTAAATGATAAAATGCTGAAAAAATCATAAGATTCTACTCGTGTAGGTATAAAATTGGACATACTTTTTTCACTATCCAATTACAAGAACTATTCGTTTCAGGATTTTTTGTATCTTTCAAAACAACCTAAACTATAACTCGTGTAGGCAGAGAAATAAAATTGATGAATTATATATATTTTTGGATAGCTTAAGTTTTCCAAGTCTACTCCTACTGACTGAACACTGGTGCAATGAAAATTAACCTATTAATAGGTATACCAGGCTACACGGTGGTATCTAGTTATTCCAGAAAGTCTTCAAATCATGGTGGAACTGCCATACTAATGAAAAATTATGCTGTTATTGACTTCATGTTCACTCATATCAATCAATCAATCAATCAATTTATTCATTGTAAATGAAACATTACAACGTCGTTATTTCCTTAGTATTAAAATTAAAATACATATACACAGAGATGCACAGATCAAAATAAAATAAATATATACAAAATTATCATGCACATGTAAACCTACAAGAGATGTAGTACATGTATTATTCATTTATAAAATCTTCTATTGAATAGAAACATTTTTCTATTAGGACATTTTTCAGCCAGATGGAGAATTCATTCGAGTGTTTCTTTTTTGCAAAGTCTGGAATTTTATTATATAATTTTGCGCCCCAATAATCGCATCCTTGCTGTGTTTTCTTCAATCGATGAAGAGGAACTTGCAGTAAATCTTTATTTCTGGTATCATAAGAATGATTGAGTACATTTTTTNGCAATACGGTATATAGGAAACCTTAAACCAAGAGACTCCTGCAGAACCTTCTTCAAAAAACATAATATTCTGACGGTAACTGCATTATTTATACTGGAATCTGTGTGTTTAATAAATAGGCATATATTAAATTTTGCTGCATCCTCTTCTCATTATAACATACGAAACTGCAGACACTCTGAAACTCACTGTGCCAACAAAAAACATTACCAGAGACTCCATATTTTACAACGTTGGAAAAATGTACAATCATTTGCCTATGGACATAAGATCTACCAATATAAATGACTTCCAATTCAGGAAGTTAGTCGAACAATTTCTATCTGATAGACCCTATTATACTTTGGATGAATATTTTAACGATAGCTTTCAACTGCATATTTTTTATCCTTACTTATTAAGGAGCTCTTGAGTTGTTATGACTACTGTTTTTGAAACTTGACTTTTACTCTTTTATAATATACATATCTTTTATATCCTCCATTTTAACATAGTTTGTACCCATGCACTATTTATATATTTATTTTAATTTCAGTTGGTATGTATTGCATTTTTTTAAGTATGTACTATACAAGCTTTGTCTACAAGATTATGTCTTATGATAATAAAGCATATTATTATTATTATTATTATTAAACGTGACCGAGGAATTCTTTCAGCAATCACTTATTCAAAAATCTCGAATTCAAACCCATTGTTTTGTCAATTGTCACAATTAACAACAAAATCATCAGTTAATTTTACGTGATTCACTAGTTTTCAAGAAAGCATCTTCAATTTAACTGGTTTTTCAGTAGTATCACAGTGGTGGCGATTTTAGTATCACCAAACCACATTTTTTGTTACTTTCGGAACATATCTTATGATTGTAACGCGGACATCAAATCTGTCTTAAGATATGTTCCTAAAATAACCACTTCTAAACAGATTTTTTTTACAGAAATTACCTGAAACGAAGTCAAAACTTGTGAGAGAATGTATAAATTTATATTTATTCAATTTAGCCTTTAATTCTAATGACTATTTGGATACCGACATGTCAATGACGTCATGTTAGAATGTTAGTGAAAGGTAGACGCCAGTGAGTAATTTTTTAATATCCCTTGTAACAAGCGATCATACCAGTAGTAGTTCACATTTTAACGAGTAGATGTCCTTACAGTAGGATTGTAAAACTTCTAGGAATTCGCGTACGTGAACCCAACCCAAAAAGTGTAGTTTTCATACAATTTTAAAATTAATTTTAGAGTTATTTTATAAAAAAGGTATGTACAAAATTGTATATGAGTTCGATTTTTCGAAAACTAAAGAAAATTGTAAAAAAATACTTCCGGAACTAATGTGTACATCAAATGACGCTTGGAATGCATTAAAATGGCAGCAGTGATAAAAAATATTTGTGCATAATTTAACCATACACCTTACACATTTCTCAAACAGTTGGAATTTCTTGTTACCGTAATTTTATGTAGAGTGTGACGTACCTAATTGTTACACGAGGCATTCAACGAGGTTTTGCTTTATTAAACTCTGAATATTTCTAGACTGTCAAGAAACCCTGGCACTTGTTCTGATATTTTTTTTACTTTTTCAGAATGCAGACTATCAAGTGTGTGGTAGTTGGAGATGGAGCAGTTGGTAAAACTTGCCTACTCATCAGGTAAGTCTATGAACTTTTTGGAAAATTAGACAACCAATGTGTTTTTTTCAGCTATACAACAAACAAGTTTCCTTCTGAGTATGTACCTACAGTTTTCGATAACTATGCTGTTACTGTTATGATAGGAGGAGAACCCTACACTCTTGGTTTATTTGATACAGCAGGTAAAAATAAAATAATGAGGAAAACAATTTTTATAAAGAATGAACAAATTAGATTGCTGAAAGTTCTTAGCTGTTTTGAACATAGATATGCGTTTCCTTCTTCAGCTCTACCTGATGTGCAACAGTTGCCCTGTATTCCCTGAATGTCTTATTGCAAATTCAAGGATGACAGATATCAAATTCATGTTTCATTACTATTGCTGCAATTTTTGATGTGATTCGGATATAGATAAAGCCATTTCTGTTGTTTTTATACACTGATTCTTCCAGTAACTACTTATATTTTCATCTTTATCGATGGAATCTTAATAATTGATACTGTCAATGTTATTTTTTTTTGTGTAAGTAATTGTAGAATTGGCCGCGGTGGTAGTGCGCCCTACTCACGATCGGAAGACCGTGGGTTCGATTCCCGCCTCGACCAGATATTTTTCTCAAGATAATTTATCTGGTTGAAGCTGGGTTAATTCTGCAACTGTGTTAGGAATCACACGTTAAAAAGTAAGACCTCGATAGTCCTTAGCTCGCACAAGTTTCTCAACTTCTGAGAGTGATCGTTCGTATGAGGGTTATGTTAATTTAATTTGGCAAATATTTTGTATGTATAATAGGTACAGAATTGGACCCAAAACAGCGTTGAGGAACGCCTTTATTTATTAAATGTCTGCCATAAGTCACTTCATTTATTTGAGTGCAGATAGTTTTTTTAGTGAAATATGAAGTTGAAAAATCATTTACCCTGCCTCTAATTCCCATTGATTCTAAAATTTTCAAAAGAATTTCATGATTGACAGAGTCGAAGCCATTTCTATGTCCAAAAAAAAACAGCTACTACATAATTTCCTTTATCAAGATTATCCTAAATAAAATCAACTACTTCCATAACTGCCATTTGTGTGCTACTTTTTCTTGAAAGCAAAATTGATTTGGGTCAAATTTTTATAAGTTTCATTTATGGAATCAACTATTTTTTTCACATTTTTTTCAAAAATACCCAATAATGGTATTGGCTTGTAATTTTCTGGATCTTCAGCATCATTTCAAATATGGGTCTTACCGATGCATGTTTCAATTCATCTGGAAAAGTACCTCTTGAAAATGAATCATTAATTAATTTATTCAATGATTTAACCAATATATTTTTCAATTTCAAAATATCTTTTTTAACAAAACCTTCTGGGTCAGGACATGTTTTTTTTTAAGAGTGTCTAAAACTTGTGGAATTATTAAAAGGTGAATAAATATTCACGATGCACTGTTTGGAACCTTTGGTGTAGTAAAGACTATCACTGGAGTTTTTTCCCAACACCAAATTGTTATTTTTAACACCTCGACACGTGTTTCGATCACCAAGTGATCATCTTCAAGAGGAAGATCAAACTGATCTTGCTCTTGAAGATTATCAATTGGTGATCGAAACATGTGTCGAGGTGTTGAAAATATGATTTGGTGTTAGTAAAAAACTCCAGTAATAGTGGATAAATATGTTTAAATATTATTATAATAATTATTTGAATCATTTTAAATATTTTCATCAATAGAGGAAAAGTGTAAATTCATTATATCCGCCATTTGAAATTCATCAGTGATAATTGCACTAATTCGTAATGAATCAACTTCTTTGTTTTCATTAAAATATGATTTTTTTCTAAAACAAAAAAAATATATTTTTTGTTGAAGAGTTCATGAAGACAATTCTAGAGGAGAAAATGCTTTTTTCCCAACACACAAAAAATGTTATTGACTATTCTGATTGTTTATTGGCAAGTAGAAGTAATCATTAGTAAATATGTATCTAACAAAATTGTTCAGTTATTTATCGCAAGAAACTTCGCAACAGTCGGAGGCGTGGGCATACCATTTGAGAAAGACCACAATCTATGAAATCATTAAGGAAATTTTCGGTGTTCTGTGGAAAATTTTAGCCCCAACATATCTTTGACATTGCTCCTCTGGTAGCCCTATTATTTTGGCAATCACCTGCCATGCCTTCTCCTTCATTAATTTCTTTTAATTTTTTTTTTATCATAAATTATTGGGTATTGTTCTATTATTGATATAAAATATGCGCCTTCCATAATATTATACAAATGAAAGTTATTATTTATTTCATATGAATGATTGCTGCTGTCAAGGTTATGGAAATGGATTGTAATGTCAATATTTGTTTATGCATTCCTGCCAACCCAAAAATTACCAAAACCTATAATCACTATGGCAATTCTTCATACTTTATTTTTTCGTGAACGTCAAAAAATGGATACCTTACCTTACCTCTCTGCATTTCCTTACCTTACCTTGCATTATTATAAACTAGGGGTTAGTGATACAATCCTACATTCATATAATTTATTTCGTTTTTGTTGTATTTCTTTTTGACAATTGTTTATGAATAAAAAATAGTTGTCGCCCATTAATTTTTTGAATCACTGGTTCTGCTAACTTAGTTTAAGCACAACCACCCTAGTGAAAGTCTTGGGAATATTGAAATGTAGAAACCATTTAATTGATATTTGTTCAGTAATTATAGACTAGAGAAAATAACTTTTTGTCTAATTTCTACTAAGATTTTTATTTCTAACGATTGGTTTCCTTTTATTAAACCATTCTAAAGAGTTTACTTGAGAACGTGGGAAATTTCCAAAGAATGGAAAAAAAAATAACTACATTGAAAACTTTTTATGAAGATACGTTAAAGTGTTTTTTTTCTAATTTGTATCTGAAAGAAGCTTCTGTGCTTGTACTACATATCTTTATGAAGTTTTTATTGCAGTTATTTTTTTCTTCCTTTCATTGGAAGTTTCCCACATTTTTTGTTTAATGGATTTTTTCCTAATTACATATTAATTATGATATTTGCTGAAGATTTGTTTGCATTGTTGCTTCAATTTGTTTCCCCTGATGAACCTATAATTTTTTATTCATAACTTTCCAACAGATATATGTTATTAGTACAAGTTGATTACATATTGTTTTTTTGAGAAATTTCATTGGAGATTCCTTTACAGGTCAAGAAGATTACGATCGTCTGCGTCCGCTTAGTTACCCTCAAACTGATGTCTTTTTAGTGTGTTTTTCTGTTGTTAGTCCATCCTCATTTGAAAATGTAAAAGAAAAGGTAACTATACTAATATTTATATGTTTTGGGGAGCATGGATATATTTTCTGAAGTTTTTGGGTTTAAAGTTGAATAAAATATCAAACTTTGAGTTTAATCAGATGAAGAAGATAGAAAAAAAATTAGATCAGAATTATTCGAAGTATAAAAGAAGCCATTTGAATTAATTTCCAGAAAATACATGTTCCGTTAAAAATGATTTACCTAAATTAACAGGATTTTTGTCTTAACTCATCTTTGGTTCAGAAAAGCACTTTGGAGATTGATATCATGTTTGAGCTGTAAGGCCCTTTTTTTAAATGAAAACTTGCATTGTATTTAAAATATTTTTCTAATTTTTTTTAACTATTGTAGTGGGTTCCTGAAATCACACATCACTGTCAGAAAACTCCATTTTTATTAGTTGGTACACAAGTTGACCTTCGGGATGATGGAGCTACAATAGAAAAATTGGCTAAAAATAAGCAAAAACCAATATCTATTGAACAAGGTAAGGCATTCTATAAAAAGATATGTACTATATAGCTTGTTAAAATAATATTTTATTGTCACATTTACCTAACTGTTACATAAGGCAACATTGTAAAATTAATTTAAGGCAACGAAAAATTGATTTAAGACTGAGACGCAGGTATATAACAGAGATATCTATAGTAAAAATAAGGGCAATATTGTATGAAACTTAATTGAAACACATGTCAAGATGTTAAAAATAAGGGTTTGGTGTTGGAATTAAACCTCCAATAACATTCATTACTACACCAAAGGTTCCAAACATTGCCATCACAAGTATATATATGTATATATGTGTGTATATGTATGTATATTCATATTATTTAAGTTTAAGTTCTGATTTATCTTTTTTATATCTGTTCGTACTTAGTTATGTTATAGTTAGTTTTTAAATTAGTGTTTTTCCTCTGCTATAAACATTGTATGTTTCTTGGGAAAATAAATCATTATTATTATTTTCATCAAGTATCGGTCAGTTCTATCATACAAATTCGTTAGTTTTTGAGATTTTGAATAATACAAAGAGGTCTATATTTTATATGATTTCATTTATATTTTAGGTGAGAAATTAGCTAAAGAATTGAAAGCTGTCAAATATGTTGAATGTTCGGCGCTCACACAAAAGGGTTTGAAGAATGTCTTTGATGAAGCTATCTTAGCAGCCTTGGAACCTCCAGAACCAGTCAAACGTAAAAGGTGTATTATTCTGTAAACTGACAATTTTTCCGCTTAGAAAAAGTTCAAAAGTATTTCTGATTGGAGAGACAATCATGAAGAGGAGAAAAAAAATGTTATCTCCAGCCAGGTTATTCATCAGATTTTTTAATATATAACTTTTTTTCAATCCTGGTTTATTGCATTTGAAATTCAAATTTTTTTTAATTTAGTTATTTTCTGTGTGTCCAAAATCCAAACAATTTTTTGAATTGAAATGAGAGATGACCGGTCAGCAAATTAAATGTGGCAATTAGTTCGAGGAGTTTCCAACATGTAATATTTTTGAAAAGAGCACAGATTGTATTCATTTGAGTTTTTTCAAGTTGACGAAACCCTACTTTGAGGCTTACAACTGCAATTTTTAAAGACTATGTGGTGAAAAATATATATTACATCATGCTTTGCCATGTTGTACCTCAGAATTTTTTAGAGGACAAAAATATTAATATTTGGTCAACTGTATACAAATGATAATTAAAGGATTATTCAAAAAATACTTTTCCAAAAATTTGTCTGACAATGATAAAACAAAAGTTATCCATTTGGATCGCATTATATAAACTCTTGCATGGTAATAAACATAGAAATCACTGAACAATCTTCTCCAATGAGAAATTTATTCTGCTCCAAAATGGTTAATTTCATTTTCAACAAACGGGTAGCTTTGTATTTTGAATACTTGGATAAATATACAGTGTGTCCAAGGATTGATGTTACAAGAGGTGTGTTGGACTGAACATTTTTGTCTTATTTTCGTTTTCTGAAAAACTAATAGTGAAGCTAAAAATTTTTTTTAGATAATGTTATTGTTTTGTTATTGTTGTTATTTCTCATCTTGAACAACTCTTATTGTAATATTTTGGTATATCATGAACATAAAGCATACATTACCTGAAAAAAAAAGTTTTGCTTCACTGTCAAGGTAGACGATATTTTTAAAATTCATTTTTCACCAAGTAGAACTCAATATCGCAATCTTAAAATAAAATTAAAAGATTTTTAATCCATCACTTCTCTTGAAAAATCAATCCTATGACACACTATGTAACTATTCCTAGAGTGATGTTGAGAATGTTTCACAAATTTGATCAAAGTGTACTAGGAACATTATACAATAGCACTTGCTTTCTAGTTTTTAAACTCGTTTATAAAAAAATTGAAATTTTTCATGACAGGAATATAAACATATATTAAGTGGTTGGAATTCAATCTTTTAATTTTATGTTAATGTCAATTTTGAATAGGTTTCTTTTGTTGATGTTGAAATGGTGCTAACATATTAACATTAAAATATGATTCGGATATGATTAGAACAATTTAATGGAGGCAGAAATATTTTGAAATGGGATAACCTATTTAATATTTTTGTTAAAAACTCCAAACTACTAGATTTTGATGGAAGTAGAAAACTTGATTGCCTTCATGATAAAAAAAAGATTACTACTTACCAGGAAAATGTGTAATGACTGACAGGTTAAAATAGAAATTCGTATGATGAGCTCATAAAGCTGATTAAACTTTAAATGGAGAACTATTTTATCAAGCAGGAATAGATTATTAATTCCTTCTTAATGATATGAAACCTCATACTTGCAAATAAATGTATGTTAATTCTTCAAATGTCTGCTTGTATTTTTATTACTGCATTCAGTTTTTTCTGAATTCAATTCTAATGTGTTTTCAATTAAATATATAAAAAGTTCCAAAATATATGTACAGCTTGTCAAAACCAGGAAGAGATTTGAGAATTATATCTTCCTCTCTCTCACACAGTCAGTCTCCTAACAAACGTGCATCTTAGGGGAGGTCCTAAGCCAAGACTTTGAAGTCGTTTCCTAGATTTGACAAGCTTCAAAGCTTCTTGAATTAAAAAACGAAACTATTCATTCTCACAAAGATCACATTAGGAATTTGGTTTTTTTGGTAATTCATAGAAAATGTTTGCCTTCAGTTTGGAACGAACTCTTGCTGTACCATGAATCTGAATTCAAGTAGAAACTGAACCATTCAAAACTAGCAGCCATGCATTTTCTTTTGTAGATTTATGAATTTTCAACAAGTAATGTTTTCATTAATTTGTATTGTACATAAAATAATCGAGAGAAAGGTCTTGAGAGAATGTGATAAGATTGTATTTTATTTAAACATTTTATTCACAATAAAAATTTGGATATTTTTCCAGACTTGATTTAGTACTAATATGTAGGTATATTTTATTGTTTTATAAGCGTGTACAGACGTTTGAATGTTGTATAATTTAAGTAAGTATTCTACTATCGAATTATTTAATATGAAAATTAAAAGTTTATACTTAAATGAGTGATTCATTTCCATTATGTTCAGTGAAAAGTGTAACACTATTTGATTGAAAGTTCCCATAGCTTTTACAAGCCTCAAAATAGCTACTCCTAGAAAATGTTGTCAAGTTAGATATTGTAAATTTGATTCAATAAATAGAATAAAAATTGGAAAGATGGATAATAATACATATGAGAAAGATCTCTTTTGTAATACATGGTAGATGCTTGTATTGCGAATGTATACGGCTTGAGACCAACCTGGGAAATTGTTGTGGGACTCCATACTGCATCAAATATGAATGTACTAGTTTGGAAGGTAATGCCATATTACCAAAAATGTAGTCAACAGGTACAAAGTGGGTAAATTGTTGTTACTAATGATTCGAATAATTCTAGTAAATTCAAAGTGGTGAGAGACTTACTTTTTGTGTTGTTCATTTGATAGGAAATTTGATGTTTATTAATTTCCAGGAGATTACATTTTGTTCTTTATTTTCTATATGTAGTATGTCGGCATAGTATAATCTTTATACTATGATCATAGTTTATGTCGAAGTTGTGGTTGTTTTCCAACAGATGGCATACATTGGTTGAATTGATTTTCTCTAATTCAAAACTTCTGTGTTTGCATATTCTGGTTTAGGAATTTCTAGATATTATTAAAATATGAACTTTTGGACACGAGCCACATTTTAGCTTGTAGAAAGCCGATTTGTTGTCCTTGTTTTTATATGTCTACTTTAGGTGTTATCTGTCCTGTATGCTATGGTGATGTTCTGTTAATAGTCTATTCAATAAAAGTTGGGACTGGAACCTAGCATAGAATAAATACAAACAAACAAACACATTCCCCGATCACCAAAAATGCAATACTCTTCTCGACGCCCATTTCACCAACCAAGTTTATGAATCGCGCGTCCAGAAGAGTATTAGTTCAGGTGATCAGGAAGAGTGCTTGTTCTGGAATTTATTTTTTCTGATGCCTTTCCTGTATAAATCAGTGTTTTTGAAGTGTTAGTATTATCATTGATGTGAGGGTATACTTGTTTAACGGCTTGTTTGAATAGTTTTTGTTGAGGATGTAGTGAATCATGTCTGAATTGAAGTTGTTATTTACTGCCGATTTGTTTTATCAAAATTAGTTATTTTTAAAATTCTCTGTTGACATAGGGATACGAATGAATCTGAGGAATCATAACTGTGGTAAGTGTGTAGTTCAGTACCTACATATTAACGTTTATCGTATACGAATTTGGAATAATTTCATATTTCACATTGAAAATTCATCTATGAATTGTTGTTCATGAATTTCTAAAATCACATTACCTTTGACTTTTTGAAATTTTAAGAAGTAAACAATTTTGCGTTTCTTAACTGTGAGTGAGCATCGTTAAATTTATTACCTAATTAGAGATTTGTCCATATACATTTTTCACAATGCTGAGTGCAAATGGCAAAATTGAAATGATTCTAATTCATGGAAAAAATAGAACAAATAGAGAAACAGCAGAAATATTTAATTTGTGTAATCTTGTCATTATATCATACTGATAGCTATTATGAACATACATACAGAGTGAAATATCAATTTTGCACCAAAAAACTAGCAAAAACCATTTTCAACAAACATCGATATACTAGTTCGAAAAATAAATTGGACAAAATTTTGCATTTAAATATTATTATAGTAATATGAGGGAGGCGTCTAAGGTGTATGTGAGATACTAACTAGTACTCTATACAAAATTAGATTTTTTTTTCGTTTTGTTATTTAGGTGGGTGTGATTTCAAATCTGAATATGGTTTACAAATTTAAACAACTTTTCTAGGAAAACTTTTTTAATAATGTCAAAAATAAGGGTAGTTTACTCTTGATCAAAATTTCTATTTCTTGTTCTTTCCTGTACACCATTAGGAAATTTAGAATTTTGACAAAAAGTTTGCACCCACATGCTGCAAACTTTTTGAAACTCACTCTTTTGGGAATATCAAATTTCATATAGAATGTCATACGAGTTTGATTACAGACAGACAGGTAGTTATGTTGCTTGGCCCCAAGTTGTTAGATTTGACTGATGGGTTGTTTTGTGAAATAAAATTTCTTCTCGTAGGATAAATTCAAGATCAGTGAAAAGTTGCCAAAGCTTTGGAAGTGCACGTTTTGTATTCCATAAGCTACAGCGGTTTTTTCTTCAAAAATAGCAATTTGGGTCCCTTTCAGTTTTTTCATGCTACAAGAATATATTTTTGTTGATATGATATATCAATTATTTTTTCAAAGTAGCGAAGTCCGTTTTTCCCAATGGGTAGACATCCGATATGTCTTTCCTTTGAGTTAACACTTACCAGCTCCCTAATTTCAGAACAAATGAAATCGGTAGTTATATCGCTGTGTGGTTTATTGAGTCCAAAAAGTATCAGATTCTTTATTCAAGATGCTTTCTTTGGATTTTCATTTTTTTTGAAAAATCTATTTTTTTTTCAGTTCAATTTTTATATTCCTTCCTCGATTTTATTCAGTAACTTACTCTTGGCCAAATCAGTAACATTTTTCAATTTCTTTCTATTTATATTTTCCATTCAAGAAACCGTATTTTAATCAGAGCATTCTCTCAAGCATTCAGTCATTAACAAACCGAATGCAGATATTTAAGTAAATATTCATATATACATTCGTAGTATTTAGAGAACCTACTAGCGAAAAATCAAAAATGAATAAATATTGCTCTTGACCCACAATATAGACTCCCGGCCGCCATGCCATAAAAATGAGCGAAGCAAAGACCCCTCATCCCCCATTGGTGATTGCTTGATAGTTGAATGATCTCTTACAAAACAAAAACAATTTTTCTCCAAAGGATTCATTCAACAATCTGATCCTTTATGGGATCGCTCTTACGTTCACCGATAATGAAGGAGCTTGTGTAATTTCTAAAAAGCCCACTTTAAAGATTTCTTCTGTTTATGAGCAATATGATTTCAAATACTTCTGAATACATTGATTGATGCATCCAGTGTAAACTAAAATATACTCATCCTACATAATGCATGAAATAAAATAGAAGTTGAAACTGGAACTTCTGGCGTAAAATAAATCTAAAAAAACAAGAACAATCACCACAAATACAATACTCTTCTCGACGCGCGTTTCACCAACCAAGTGGGCGTCTTCAGGAGATTACCACTTGGTTGGTGAAACACGCGTCGGGGAACATTGCATTTCTGGTGATTGGGAAAAGTGCTTGTTTTTTGATCTACAAAATGTACTTACTCTAGATCAGCAGAATTGTTAAATACATAGTTGGACCATGAAATATGGCATAACAAATGTTGTATTCAATATGGCATAACAAATGTTGTATTCATCAACAAGTCTGGCTACTGACTAACTGTTAGTTGAGATGTAGTCAATCTGAATGCTTTTTTTTTTCATCCGGTTAAAGCCATTTCAAAGTCGTTTTTACTTCCAACCAGCTACTTCCTTATGATAACTTCAAACCATCGAAGGACTTCAAAACACTTGTGCAAACAAGGGAAGGTGAGGGTTTGATCTCTCAACATGTGATCCCAAGCACAATAAATGATAAATACAAAGTTACTCCAAGCACCAGCTACCTATCCAAATGTTAGCCTAAGAGCTGAATGCTTTATCTGTTTAAAATCTATTTTTCCGTTAACCAGCTGTCACACCCCTACGAACGACAACCCTCAGAAGTCGAAACTTGTGGCGAGCTAAGGATTAACGAGGTCTAACCTTTTAACGTGTGATTCCTAACATGTGCACGTGCATGAAGGACCAAGCTTGCCTTGATCTCGTTGAGAAAATAGGTGAAAAAAAAAACAATGCAAATGTTTATAAACTTTATTTATAAAACTATCATGTATAAGGTTTCGAGTGCAAAGCTAGTCACTTGAAATTGGAAAATTATATTTTTGATAGAAACGAAAATCACACATCTCTAAAAAAAACATTAAAAAGTCAATTCGAGTTACCTCAGAGTCCTCATTCAATGTGGTATAGATTGAGTAAGGTAGTTCGTTATGTGGTTTTGTGAATAATTGTAATTGATGTACATGTTTACTTGTCGTACTTTGGATTTATTGTGGCTACTGAGAATTTGGTACATGATACTCCTATGTCTATAAGTCCTTAAGTTCTATGTCAAATTTCAGTCCAATCTAAACAAAGGAAAATCATTATTAAGAAAGTAGAAACTGACAAACCAGATTTTTAACCAAATTAAAAGTAATAATTCTAATACAGTTATTAACAGTTCATAAAGTTGATGCATTCTACCATATTGAGTTGTTTCAGATGTTTTGAAACGTTCGTTTAAATGTCATGCATGTATTGTTATAGATCCATATCTCGGTAAATATTTATTCTACTGTGTCCTGGAGTATACTGATCGATAGAGAATTTTGTAATTTACATTGATGGTGTTAATTTTTTCAAATTTATATTTTTTGTCTCTTTTCAGTTCATTACTATATGAATTCAAATTGAATCAAAGCGTTGCCCAAACAACCAGGCATTTGGCTATAATAGTGTTAATGAACGCACCGTTCGACGTTGATTTACGAAATTTCGTTTCACAGATTTTAGCCTCGAAGACGAGCCCCGAAGAGGTCCACCTACAGTATTTCAGGACGAGAATAGAAACGTCAGTGAGCTCGAAAAGTGGGTGCCTCACGATTTGAATGATCAACAGAAATTGTTACGTTTCGAGGTCTGTTCTTTGCCTTTGGTAACCAAAATGCCCTTTTTTTGAATCATATCGTCACGTGTGATGAAAAACAGTCCTCTAACTCGACAACAGAAGACAATTAGGGCAGTGGTTGGACACCAATGAGCCACCCAGACACTTCTCAAAGGGAGAGACCCACCAAAAGAGGATCACGGTTACTAAATGGTGGTCACCGGCTGGTGTGATTAACTATAACTTTCAGCAACCATCACGTCAGTGTCGTATTGTGAGGAAATCGATGAAATGTACCAAAAATTTCTGTCAGCAGCAGCCGATACTGGTTAACAGAAGACGTTTTATCCTGCTACGACAACGCCCGTCCGCACGTTTCACAAATCACCGTCCGATAATTAAAGAATTAAGCGTCGAAGTTCTGCCTAACCCAACATAATCCCCAGACCTCTCGCCAACTGATTACCATATTTTCAAGCGGTTAGATAACTTTCTCATCGGTAGAAACTTCGTCATTAGGGCCAGGCAAAAACGGCCTTCGTCGTCTTCATCGAATCCCGATCACACAATGTTTATGCTGACGGAATTAATCAACTTGTTACTTTGGAAAAAGTGCACTGATTCAAATGGCACTTTTACAGTGTGACCCATTTTTAATGGAAACACCCCTCTGAAATTTGAAGTTGTGAACCGATTTTAATAATTTTTTTTTTGAAATGTCAAGTACTAAAAGGTCTACCTTGGGACAAAATTTGAAATGGGCCTAGAATTTTCAAGATTTGCTGGATTTGGCTTTTTGTATACTGGGATGACTTTGCCGATTTTCAAT